TGAAGCCGCCTATCCTGTTCTTACAATTGCTTATTCTGTAGAATGATCGCACTTCATGTTTATTTATATTTAGAGGAATAAAGCATAACATTTTTTTCAATATCTTCTTCCACAATCGAGGTCGGTAAATCTAAATAAACATTTATGCTTAGCTTACAGGACCTCATTGTATCTTAGAAATTGTATGCGTTTAGTGAGATGTTTCACCCAGTACCTTGAAACACATTCAATGTCTGTCCTTGAGAATCATGGAAATGGGCAAAGGAATTCATTATGTATTACAGCTTATTCAAGTTAATTAATTTTTCTTTCTTAATTGCAAAATAGCAACAAAGAATGGCAGATAGGTGTGAATTGAATAACACTCTTGAATGAACATTTGTGAAATTTGTAGTCTATTTTCCAAAGCAAACTTTTCACAACACACCCTCAGAAAAAAGTAGTTGGGGTTTTTTTTCTTTTCCTTCTCAAAAAAGTAAGAATCAAGGCTTTTTATTTCAACAATTGAAATTTCCAGAACAATTCTCAAAATTTCCCAAATGAAATGACCATGACCTTCTCCAAACTAACTTCTCCAAGATTTTATCTTATCAGTGACGTCTTGCAAAAGAAGCAAAAATGATGAAACTCTCAATGTCATTACAAAGTCTAGCTATGAATATGGACTTGCTTTGAAACACGTGACTGTTGCAAAAAATCTTTGACCATATAAACGTCAGGGCATTGCAAACAAAAGCTTTGTGAAAATCTTAAGCATTAGATGCCTGTTAATGTACAAGACTTGAGATCAACCGAGCAAAGATTTCTATTGACATGAAGTATCCCATGGTTCTTTTTATATATTTACACAGACAATAAAAAGCTAGAACACAATACAGGGGTTTTCAAAATGTAAACATAGATGTTTTTACAACCCCATTGACACAATAAGGAGGCAGGCTTCCAACACAGCCCACCAGGGACAATCCAGACAGAGAGTGATACAGAATCCCAGCAGAAAGACTGAAATACTCGATAAAAATTTCTCCCTACTCAGGAATCTAACTCAGGTCTCCAGCGTGCAACAGCAAAGTGCCTTATCACTACACCACAGATGCAAGTCTCTTCAAAACAAATCTCAGGAAAACCATTAAACTTTCAAAAGAGAATGCACAAAGCAAACACACAAGTCTTTTACCACAATTACAAACAAAACCCAAACTACGCTTAAGCATTTGCACTTCACTCACAACATCACTAGAACACTCCTGGAAAATCTTTCAAAACGGAAAAAAGAATTTTTTTGCTAAAAATTGTTAAAGATTGAGCAAGCAGGGTCCTTCTTTAGGGGGGTTTTTTTTGGTTGTTTTTTTTTCTTTTCTTTTTTATTTATTTATTTATTTGGTGGGGTAGGGGTGTCCATGCCAACTACCTAAAGTGACAGGACAGTTCAGATAAAAATAAAAGTTCGCAAGTTATTAAAAACAAACTACTTTTAGATTAAAAATACAAAACAATATTGAAGGATAAGCTTCAAATGGCATGAAAGCTGTTCTTCAGAGTCACTCAGTAACATTGTCCCTTTCCATCTTTCAACCTAAGAAAAAATAGAAGCTGTCTACTTCTCAAATAAAAAAAACAGGGGGTTCACATGGTCTAGAGTGTAGCTTGTATGGTGTTTGCCTCTCCAAAAAAAAGTCTGAGATCAAATCCTGCCAGCGACAAAATAATTTTCTTCTCTAAAGTGTTCTCCTTTATATTCCTGTCCTATTTTCTAGTCCTGTTCTGTTACCTGATTTAATCACCAGTCCCCCCCCCCCCCACTGCCACCCTCCTCAGTGCTCATCTCTCCTCATCTCTACTCTTTCTACTGTTACTCCTCACTCCTTTTTACAGCTGTCTTTCAGCCACACCCCTGATCTCATAGTAAAAGATCAAACATCTAGTGTTCTCAGATATGGAGATAAGGGAGAAAAATCTTGATGTCCCCTGTGCAATTTGCAAATGATACTAAAATCAATATGTAGGCTTCGGCCGCAATTAAGGCAAAATTCAAAATTAATTCCCTCCTTTCGAAATCAGAATGTTGAAGGTAAGGGGTCTTACAAAGAAGGAAGAAACGGTCACATACGTGAAAATCAGATGCACTACAAGCTGAAAAACCAGCAGAAGAGTACCCCTGAGATCTAGCACCGGAGTGCAAAGAATTAAAGAAAAACCGAAGTAGGCTACCTGCGACAGGTAAACTTTAAAAACAGAAATCTTTAGACTTTCCCATATAAGTGACAAGCTGTCAATTAATTGACAAAATGATAATATTCAGTCCACAACTAACCTGTGTGCCAGTGCCAAGCATAATGGTCTGTGGTATGAGATAAGTCTTGCTCTGGATATCAATCTCCTGGCCATTCAGTCTCACCAACAGCACTCTGAAGTTTGTGCCACCAAGATCAAGTGCCAAAAACTCGCCCTTTTCTGAAAGAGAGAAAAAAATAAAATAAATTACAGCACATCAATCATAATCATAATCAGAGGGAATTTTAGTTTTACAAGCTTCAGATCCAACCAGTCTGCTTTCATGCTTTATATTTTGGGGGAAAAAAAGAATCTCTACAAGACAAAAAATCATCAGCAGATTTCTTTTTTTTTAAATTTATATTATTATATATACTATATACATTCCAAAAGTAAACCATCAAAGTATTCGACTAATGAGCAGGAAAATGTATGAGTAAGAATGTGTAGTGCTGTGTTACAGTTATAAGACCGAGCACATTCATTTCTTCACAGAGTGCTGTTGTATGTAAGCATTTAAGTACATAGTTATGGGGAAAGTTTAACAATTTGGCATAAATAAGAATTTGCGCAGTCATTTTCCTTTTTAAAAGAGAATCTAGTAACCTTTTATTTTGCAAGCTAGTCACACAGAAAGTAGGTCCCACATCTGTGGGTTACTGTTCAGGCTTTTCTTCTTGCTACCACAAGACATGAGTACAATTCCCAAAAAGGAAAGGTGAATTTTTGAGTACCTCTTTCTCAAAATTGGGGTCTAGAACCCAATCTGTATCCTACACAGCCCCAGTTGGCCTCAGTAGGCAAGCCGAAGCAGCCTGCCTCCTAAATTATTTAAACTGTGTTGATGGAGTCATAAAACATTTACAGTCATGGAAATGACCCTCCATAAACTCCATTATCTCAAGACCCTGAGTAGCACTGATGATGATTGATGAAGCCAGTGTCCTTATACACTTCCTCTTTATACCTCCTATAAACAACCAAAAGTAAATCTTCAAACAAATCAAAACATATAAATACCTGATCCATCTGGAGTTGACCGAACGAATGTAGGGAACATGCTGAGAACTGTGGCATTGCTCTTCTGACTTTTCAGTCCATTGTTCAACTCCTGATTCAGAAGTGTCATTGCTCTCTTATAAGCCGCTGCTGGGAGCTTGAAACCTTTTACAATGGCTTCAATCTGCAGAAAAATAGGGGACAATGTAAATGGTCGTAGATTATACACAGAGAATGAACTCCAGTACTGTCATAGCAACAGACTAAACAGTAAACATCAAAATTCCTTAATATATCATGTATATTAATAAAAGGAACCCCGGCTATAACAGACAGGACTTCCGGGACTGACATGAAATCCCTATTACAGCTGAATCCTGTTATAGACGAAGATAAAGTTTTGCATTCACTGGAACTACTGATTAACGAATACGAAAGTTTTGATTATTTTACCCAGAAACGATTCATCAGTTATTGCCCCTTTCTTTTCAAGTGACTGTTTTGCTTCTCATCTTATCTTCCTTTTTCCAGCATCTTAAGTCTAATGAAGGTTGACTAGACATGACTTGAGATGTATGGGTAATAATATAATAATAGCCAACTAATTGCATGTTATGTATAGCAAATAATTATATCCATTCTCTACAGGCAGAGAATCAACGCGTTTCGAATGCTTTACACCCATTCTGGATTGAATAGTTACCACATTCGGGAAAAGGAACATAGGCCTACATGGCATAGATCTGCGGTAGATCTAGTGTCCAGTGCCTACTTTTATACAATATTTTTTTCCCTCGCAACAAGTCTCGCCGCCCCACTGGGAGACAACGTGACAATGTGACACCAGTAAAAGGTCACACAATAAGTCACTGACGGGATTTGTATCAACAACAAAGTGCGTCCAGCTTTCTCCATCCATCCCCTGAAAGCATGGTATGATACACCATAACTTAATGTACACAAAATCAACTTCGGCCTACTGTGGGTAACGCAGGACCCATCAATGTTGGCTGTTGCTTTGCTTATTTTGCTTTTTCCTGCTTTTTTGTCTTTCTGTTTTAAGATTTTGTCATTGGCTCCACCTGGCTCAACCATTGTTATAGCCAAGCTGCCGGAGTGCCTGCTATAAAAGAACGTTTTTTTACTATGCATTTTTAAAAATAGGACCCAGGAGTTTATTACAAGCCTGCTACAGCCAGAATCTTATTATATAACCGAAACTTTTAAATGGGGCCTACTATAACACAACATCTAATTAAGAGAGCTTGGAACTTAGAGAGCCAATTCTTATTTTGAATGCAGTGCAATGTAATGCCTATCTTTAAATTCAACTTTAAGTTAAGATGACAATGACACAATAACATCAGGTTAATAAGGTTGACTTTATTCCCACTGTCACACATCCTTCCCTCCTCTCTCTCTCTCTCTCTCTCCCCTCTCTCTCTCTCCCCTCTCTCTCTTTCTGAGTGTGTGTGTGTGTGTGTGTGTGTGTGTGTGTGTGTGTGTGTGTGTGT